TTTGGCAGTCGAGGAATATCACTGATATCAGAGTCGTATCTTTAAAGGCACTTCGTAATCCTCAGAAAGAAAAGACGGAACTTCACGCACCATCACAATTCACATCACATCGTATCAATTCGCCCGAAACGTTCTTCCACAGCATTGAAACGTTTGTAACACAGAACAATACTGCTTCAAACCTGCAAAAATCCGCGAACGTCAGCAATCCCGGCATTGTTACGATAAGCATGACCACAACAACAACGAAACCAAGAAAAAACCGAAGAAAACAGCCCCAAAACTCAAGAAAATAGCCCAAAAGCCTCCCGGCATTCAAAAGCATTGATTTCGCGCCGCACCGATCGATCAGCATGGGCCAGGACGGTCACACCACGAACGAGCGTACGGTAGAAATTCAATCAGAGTCCTCATACGGATAGTGGATTATCCCGTCCTTTGAGCGAGACAAAGCGCGCGGACTTACCACTGTTCACTACCTCTCCATGTGGGGAGCCCATACACCGATGATGGGCCTAATGTGTAAAAAAACACAATAGCTAATATAGGGGGTTGCACCAACACCTTCCGAAGGAGAGGGGGTGGAAAAAATTCTGAAAATTATGCGACGCACGGTTGATCCTGCATGGGTGTCCCTTCCCTAGATCGTACTTCAATCGATAATCGGTACGGCAAGTCCCTTGAACTTAGACCTGGCCACTAAGTCAGTCGGTTCGGCCCCTATGTAAGCCGAATGCGTAGGGAAATATGACCGAGTTTCGGTTATAGTTCAAAGTACACGCGAGAATCAAGGAGATTTATTCAACACACAATGAAGTATAATAAAATAACGAATCGATAAATTGAAGTATGTTGTGGTGTAGGTAAACAAAACACAGTTGATCGAACGAAAGTTGCTGTGGGGTAGAGAGCCGTGAGGAAATTCCTGATCCGCGGAGCTGATACCGACAGACCAGTACCGGGTTTGGCAACCGATTGCTGACAAGGATCAGGTGGGTTCACAATTTAGCTTGGACGCAGGGTCAAGCGTGCGTTGAGGAATCCTCGACATGTCACAGGGGGGGGGGTCGTATTGGCCCGCTGGGGAAGAGATCGGGCCCGATTGATGCAGTAGGATCATCGTCGGAGGACAAACATCAAGGATCGAATCGATGCCAGGCCAGAGGATTTCCAATAACAATTATTCCGTCCACATAAAATTTCGTGATTCAGAGGGGTCCGCGTAGTAATTCTTAACCACCTCAGTGATTTGCTACGACAAGGCTTGCAGAATCGTTTTCGAAAAATGTGCACGTTTTCCAGCGGTTATTTTATCTTCCAGATGAGTCCACCAACATGAAGGGAATGTGAAGCACACGGCGCGTCCAGATGCGCGCTTCAACTGCGGCTCTCTGGAGAGAAAATCTCAATTCAGGAAAAATCAAGAGGATTCTGAAAGGGTTCATGTGAAATTACAGGGAGGAGTACACTATTCAACAAGAAATGCAGCCTTCAGCGTCAAATTCATGAACATATAAGTGTTAAAGTTGAGATTCGCCAAACAGTTTCACACTTATTGAAAGAAAAAAGCTCGTGGATTCCAAATTCCGCTCTCATTTTGTACAAAATCGCTCTTGAAAGCAGCTGTACTCGTAGAAAGAAAGTCAATGCAGCGAAAAAGTATCTTTCGGGGATACTCGAACAAAAATCCTCGACGTGGCCATTTTTTGCTTCTTCGTAGTCATTATGCGCTCTTCTAAACAAAAATCTACTACCATCCATATAGTTAACTTATATGCTTTCATCCTTGCCCAAATAATCCTATGACATTTAAGATATTGCACATTTAAAAAAAATAAAAGCGAGGACGTGTGCGCGCAAAATCGCTCGTCTCACGCGGGGCAAAATGCTAAAACACGCGTTGTCGTCAACGTGTTAAACAACGACCATGAAACCAGACAACATGCAATAACTACGACTTAGAGATCCAGTCAGAGGGCGTGCTTGTCGCTGCGTAACTGCGGTTACTGAAGCGAAGGAAAGTATGTGTGCAACATGAAAGTTTATGCCGCACTGCAATTGAAGCTAGAACCAATGAAAACGAGATGTGGCCTTTTGTCAGAGGTGTATCAATTGCAGCGAAGTGGGGTTTGTTGGCCTTTTCTGTGTTAGCCACCACCTTTGCTGCCAGTGTCTTGTCAAAGCAGCAGCATCACTCGTTTTTCATTGTGTAAAGTATTTCACTTCGAGCGGCCATATCGCCTGAATTTCCTGAACAGTGTCTCATCATTCAAGCATGGGGTTTGCTGACATGATGCTGGCACACACATGCTTCACACATGCAAACGAATGTCTCGCCCATTCTTGTCGTAGGTCAACAAGCAAACGAAAGAGTCTTCCGTTTCTTATTTTTGATGAACGTCTCTCCATTTTCAGCGAACGACGCTTTATATAAGGCCCCTATTCCCATGGTGAATCCAACCCAATCCTATAGTTGTCTGTGCCTGAATTCCTCTCACTATCGCCGATAACCTTTAGGTGAGGTAAAGTGAACGCTAACATTAATCCTTTATTTTCTGTCAAATGTTTGTGATTATGATGTATAAGATAATTATTGTCCATGAGTATTCATTCGTTCCATTGCTTTCATCCGTCCCAACACCTGTAAGCATAACAATATGAGCATGAAACGCTGCCTTTCCTCTTCCGTACTTCTACCAAATACTGTAACTGGCAAGGTGAGTTAGTTTGCGCACGCTTGACGTACAGTATCGATAGCGATAGTCAGGTTTGCGCTCGAACAAGCGTACGTCACTTCTTTGCTTTTGCAGCAACTGGTAGACTGAGTAGCACATCATCTACATTGTTGCTGGTTGAGGACGAATCAAATTCATAGAGGAGGCAAATCAAGAAGCGCGCACATTTCAACCCTTCCAAGTTCCTATTCGCCTAAACTGTTTTGTTTGAGTAATGCATCGCTTTGCGACCTCTGCGCTGTCACAGTACATTTAGATGAAGCAGTTTTCTTTTAGAAGCGTAGCAAAGCAAACAAGACCCTGATCTACCATACCAAAGTACCAGCGGAGACCAACGGATCATTTTTAAGCGGGAGAAACGTAAGCTACTGTCATGGCGCGGACACTCCAAGGGATTCTGCCAACATTTGCACATCAGCCGAATCTTTTGAGTTAGCGAGGTGTTCGAAATGTTGGGATCTGAAGTCTGCAGAAGCCGTTTAACGACTTCGAATGTTGAAGACTATTCTCTCGTTAGCAGTGAGGACCCAAACACATTAGTCATTCATTAGATTAACATCCTGGAATTTCGCATATTTACGTTCTTGGGCGTCAACTCTCACTCTTAGCTGATCGGCAGTCGCTACTAGGCTTAGTAAGGAAACAGCAGTCAAGAACTTATCGAACGATTGTTATGGTTGATGATGTAACTCACATATGGGCACCTTCGATAAGTATTTGATGACGAATGGCACTGTCGACGCATCCTCGTCGACGCAAAGCTTCGGATTATTTCCAATATTTATTGCATCATCAGGGCTTTCACCTTTGCGGAGTTGTATTTCAAGCTTGTATAATGCATTCAAAGAATTCAAGTTTGGATTATCTTCAATGACGAGTACTGGTCCTCTCTGTGGCTGCTTCAGGAGAAGAAGATTTTTCATTTTTGGAAAACTGGTGACGTTGCTTCCTACAAGCGACAGTGCTCCCACTACCACTTCTATTTGATCCAGAGCGCTTTCATACTCTGTGAGATCGATGTTGCTCGAAACGACTTTGCACACTCTTCGTATTGGCCTCTCCAGTGGACAAGCTGAAACGATTCTATTTCAGGAGCTAAGTAAACAAATACATATATATGCCTATAGTATAATTTATTATACAGGGTGGCCACAAACTACGGTGACAAAAACGTACCTACGTTAATTTTGACTTTTTGTTATTAGTTGACTCTATTTTATTGATTGCTGTTGTAGGCCGCAACTCGCTGGATTATGAACAAAACATTCGCCCCAGCCGGGACTCAAGCACGCACCCTCTTGCTTACCGCGCAAATGAGCCACAAGTAACGCTCCCGGGGAACCGTTGAGGCCTAAGTCAGCCTTTCGCGGTACACTCACCAAGACTTTAGCTACGCTCGCTACCGCACGCATTTTAAAGAAGGCTTCATTCAAACTGAGCATAGCAAGCTCTTGTGTTAAAGGAAGTGGTCACGATAATTTTCGTAAGCTATGCATTGAAGTAGATAGAGGTCCAGCCCACTGTCACAAAAACGGAAGGCCCAGAACGTTGCACATCCAAAGGATTAGGACAGTCACCTAGAAGAAGATCACTCACGCCGATGAATCCATCGTGGGACAGACCTCTTCTAATTCGAGGATTATGAGTCAGTCCTCCCAGAAGGTCGCAGGAACTCTAATCTGAAGGAATGCCGACTCGTTTTGTACTGGTTTTATTGCAACCCGGGTGAACATTCCAATAACTCTTCCGCTGCGTCTTGCTGTCACGAACGTTGTTAAAATTGGGAGAAATAAAGGGGAGGATTCGATTTATAGCACCTGTACACAATATTCCACACACTAAAAAGATTCAGCAGACTCACTGAAGGACTCTTGAATGTTTGCCAGAGCATTTTTCGAGCATCCCTTTTTTTGGCACTCTTCTCTTAACTGATTAGTATTCATTCTAGGATTTCCACGAATGTTAAGTTCGAGGCCACTGGCATCCTCGATAGTGAATATAGGCAACGTTTCCAAAAATTCGTTGTTAACCATTTCCAGGACCGCATCTGAAATAAAACTTTTCTCAACTTTCACTGTGCCCTGCGTTGTTTTGCTCACCAACAGAAAACACTCTTTCTAATATATGCTAATTCTACTTAGGACCAGATTGGTCTCCCGGCAACTTCCTTTCCTCTCTACGTTAACTTTACGTCCTCCATTTATGACAATAAACATCTAGTTAGGTGGATTTGAGTGCACATAAAAGGTGTCTTCGCAGCTTACGGCATTATTTCATTCATGGAATGGGATTAAAATTATCAGGTTGGTCCATAAGTCTTGCAACAAACTGGCTGAGTTTTGATTTTAATCTTTTTGCTATCTTCTTGTTCCACTCATACAGCATGATACATGTCATCAATATTATCAACTTACTAGAATTCCGTTGAATGCTAATTGAAGAAAGATCAGGTGTCGATTTTGACATCACGATGGTTAGGATGAGATTTCTTCTCTAGGACGTGGTCTGGAGAGGGAAGCAGGTGGGCATCCTTTGGCTCGAGGTCAGGCTATAAGGTGGATACGGAAGAACTCTCCGTCCGAGAGTCTCAAAATTTTCCTGGATTTTCTTAGCAAGAGGTGGTTCAACGGTGTCATAAAAAAGCAAACTTTGCCTTGTTTTCTTTCGTATTAAAAGCGTTGCAATCGAGCTGTGGATAGTTGACTTTCGCGTTGACTGCGACATCTACACGAAGGGTTTCCAGAGCTCAACTCCTCTCGTGTTCCACCAAAAATCCGAGAAGGCCCTACTTGGACGAGGTTGAACTTGAGCAGTAAGAACTCCCGAAGCGTTTGAGCTGGACTACCGCCGCTTGTTTATTTGTTAGCACACTGTACCCACTCCTCATCTTCGGCAAATGTGATGGATGGTCAATCGAAGAATCCATAGTAAGTCGACTTGAACATGACGATGTCAGATCGTGTTTGGAGCTGATTCGGGCTCAAGGCATGTGGGATCCAAACTCTATATTTTCGGATCTTCACAAGTCTTTGGAGATGCCACAGTGCTGTCTCCTTGTCGCATCGGAATTGCTCTGCAAATGATCGATACTCTATCCAGATCCCTTTTCAACAGCGTCAGATAGAGCATCGTGATTGTCAGTCACGGGGTGGTTGGAGTGTGGATTATTTCAAATAAAAAAGTCAACGCTGAGCAGAGTGAAGCGCCGTGCACCGTGAATTGAGAGAGCGTGCCCTCGCCCATCTTCTGGCTAATCCTTGGTGTAGCATGACTTGCGGAACATTCCAAGCAGTACTCGTAAAAATTAGGGCACGAAGAGCTTTTCGCGAAATCGGTGTAATATCCATAACAAGTAGCGAGACAACGAGCTGGACGGTTGGCTGAAATTGCAAAGGTGGATGCTACGTCAGCAAACATGTTGCGGATTTTTCGGAGTTCTCACAAAAATTTTCTAGCATCAAATGTAATTTGTTGCAAGACTTATGGACCAACCTAATACATTCCAACACTAATTACACTAACAGCACATCAGTGACTAATTCGACCCTATACCTGATGGTTATTAGTTTCCGTCCTCGATTTCTCATCCTCCTCCTCCTTCTCTCTCCTCTGTCCTCCAGCTGCCACTGCAGCACCATGTGGAATGACCGAAAGTGTGCTCGGTTGGTGTTTATACAGCCGTTAGGGGTGTTATCACAATGGCATTGCAGAACATGGACTGCCCAAATCCTCCGAACCCAAGGCCCTGTGAGCAGTTTGTTTATTTCATAAGCTTCCTTATCGCGTCTCCTTCGCTTTTGTTTGTGGGCATACAGAAAAACATGCATACTTACCTTCATACATAGTGAACACAGAGAGACACATACAGGGGTGACCAAAAAAAAAAACACTTAACTTCAATCAAAACGGCATTGATCACACTTTGCTGAATTCATAATCAGGGTCAACCCTACCGTTGGCACTTTTTGGAATTCTACGACCCCACTCCTTCATGGGGGTTTCGGTACGACCCCTCCCGAGTGCTCCTCCCCAACTCACTTGGCACCGAGCTGTCAAGCCTTAAATTTAGGATAGGGAGTCCGGGCCAAGGAATCAATCATTCGATTACATTATACTTAATTGATTATATCGATCGCATTTTTGAATGTGAGGAATCGCCCTGATTGGCGTTCTGAAGATGGAGCGCTGAATGTGAACAGGTGACGAACGGAGATACTGGAATTTAGACGGGTATTTTGTTGTTAAATTTCAGGTACTTCGGAGGATCAAAGTGGATTTTGGATCAGGCCGCGTTTACAGTTCGCGACTCCGGAGATTGGGATAGTTCGCGACAATGAAAAACATACACTGCGACGCATAATTATAGTTCCACCTACAATTTCAGTACCCGGCTGGATATCATTTTCTCACGATACGGCGCTTATCTCAGTCGGATAGTAATCAGGGTTCCTCCCAGTCATATCCTGTAGCATCCTTGAGAAATTTGTTCGTTATGAAGTCACCCCGACAAATTCCAGCGGAGCTGACACTTTGACAATTCCTGCGTCTCTTTTGCTAGGATTTCCCTTTTACGGAAGTGTGACAGCGGTTTTGCCTTTGCTATAAGCTAAGGAACTTGAATGGATAATAATTCCAAATTTTGATTGGGTAAAAGCAAAATGCAGCGGAGAAGCTAAAGCGGATATTTTCGAAAAAATAAGGATAAAAAATTGTTGCTTTCTCAAACTGGATTTCCGTGTTAATATTCAGATTCGCGTTTATATGTGTCACAATTTATCTGTAGAGCCTTTTCCAAAAACATCCCCAGATTCAAGTTTTTGGGAAATTTGTAGGTGGAACTATAATTATGCGTCGCAGTGTATGTATTGACGGCGAAATTAGGATAGTAGTAGATTAGGATAGTGCGCTGACAAGATTAGATATGTATTGATCTATTCGCTTGAAGTCGCCCAATCTACTACTCTCCAGCGATTTCAATCGATACGTATCCAATCTTGTCAGCGCAATCTCCTACTCTACTACTATCCTAATATCCTGTCGCCTACTATCCTAATCTCCCGAGTCGCGAACTATGAACGTAGCCTTAGCGAGACTTTGGCTTTCCACTGATGCTTACTTGTTCTCGAATAATTTGAAATGACAAAGTTATAAAGCAAGAAATAAAGTTGCAACGCAATTTTTATCTTCCTCGTTCGAGGGTCACAATAATGAGTTTTTAATGAGTATTTCTGGGCTAATTTACGCGTAGCATCCCTTGAAGGTAATTAAAGTTGACAATGGCCATTACCGCGATTCGGGTCAACTGATAGGGCATCATTTTGCTGTCTCATCAAAAACATCGGAAAACGGTTCTTCCATAGAGACCTGCTTTTCTTACTTCACGCAATATTCCTTCCAGTTGAATTCAGTGAAGCTTTCGCGTGGTGAAGTTCTGAGTGTTCTTACGAGTTACTAGACGCCATTTTTGCTATGAGATTCCTCGATGCAAAGGAAGAAGGAGAGTTGGTAATGATCATGTGATTCACCTTACCGAGCTTACACAACAAATTGTAGTATTTGAGAGCATGTTGTTGCTGAGATCCTCGATTATTGTCAAGTAAGTGCAGTGCAGTTTTGTTGCCAACTCTAAACCTGCTATCCCTCTAAAAAGTTGGGCAAACGGTATCATTCATCTCCTACAGCCAAGTAGAACATTGGTTTCCTTCATACGAATATCTTCAAGAGCGGGGCCCTTTGAGCGACGGGGCGCTATGGAATAACCTTCTTACTGCACGCAGCACAGAAGCCAATTGCAACGACTCAATAGGTGCGGCCGCGTACAAGCTCCTTCCTATACAATTCGCCAAAATGGCTCCATTAAGGTAGGAGTTCAAAGCTGCAACACTTTGCATAAGACCTTTATGTACCCTTCCACTAGACTGCGAGGATCCACTACTGAGAACGGCTTCGGTTTTTCCCTAGAGAAGTCGATTCAAATTATCGCATTACTTTGAATAATTCAATTGTAACTAATGGATTCGATAAGACACAGAATCAAATGACGTACTAGATCCGATTAACATTGTCGGCGAGTCAGTGAGCCTCCTTAATTTAGTATCGTACAATAATAGTTTTCTTATCTCGTTGGCCGTCTTCAGCTTCTGAAATTAATTTTAAAATTATTCACAGAGGGGTAGATAAGGGGAACTTTTATCCATGCTTCTTTGAATCTTTTGTTTTTCTTGTAAACAAGTCAAAGCCTTCTGAAAACGAACTTAATTTCAGACTTCTGTGGTCATTTATTTTGTCTTACCTTGCTTTGTCCGGTTCGCTCTTGAACGAAATCTGATTCTGTACGATCAGATCACGTAGCGATCCTTTCTATTCAATATATTTCAGCCGAATTCATGTAATAAGTGCTTGTTCAACGAATAGTGTACAAGGCTTTATGCATGCAAGGTCGCAAGGTTCATGTGTTGCGCAAGGATAGCATACTAACCTATACTAGTGCTGCTTGAAGGAGGTGTTTGTTGTGGACTGAGATCGCCTTGATGTCGTTGTGAGGCGTTGCTCCAATTAAGCGGGGCTTAATATGGCTTTATGAGTTACGTCATATGGGTGCACACCGTTGACTACTCTCGCAGCACGCTTTATTTGAAGGTACGGGTTGCGTTCAGGTATCTTTCAGAGGGTATCCTTCCCAGGGGTCAACCCTACGTTGTTACTAGTAACAACGGGGTCGTACTTGGTTGAGTTTGTAGGAGGGGGGGGGTCGTACCCGTTTCAGTCGCTTGAAATCACATGTGAGTTTGAGGTGAAACTGAAGTTTTTATGGGTAGGTAGGCTGGGTGAGTTGAGGGGCGCAAAAAAATTTGCCGTTTCAGCGCGCGTACTACAGGGGGGGGCCAAAAAAAAAAGACATTTTGCCTATGTCGGACTTCGGCTCTTTTTTCTTCGCAGAGATTGCTGTCGTTGACGGGAGTTCCTCAGCAGAGTATTCCCTAAGTGTTCCTCTATTAGTGTACGCAGGCTCTCCTTCACTGCCCTCACCGTC